GGGGATTGAGAGGAGAAGAGAATGAAATAAACGGTGGACTGGAGAAGGTAAGAATAAGTATAGGAAAGGATGGAGTATGAGTGAGAGAAAGAAGGGAAAGTTAGGGATTGGGGGAGAAGAGAATGGAAGAGTTGGTGGGAGGAGGAAAAAGATGGTGGGAAGGGAGAGGTTTGTATAAATTTCAAGATTTGAGGGGGGAAGGCGTTAATCCCGAAAAAAATGGGAGATTGAAGGGCCTATACACAAAAATTACTCAATATTTCACTAAAAAATTGTTTCCAACACCGAAAATACCTGTTTGTCATTGTATTTGTCATTTTTTAGGTCAAAGTGTCATCAGTGTCACTTTTTAGGCAAAACTGGTAAAAAAGTATCACTTTTAAGGCTAAATTGGGATTTTAGCCCCCCAAAAAAACCAACCCCCTCCCCCGAAAAAATGGCACACTTGCACAAGGTGGATAATCTTATTTGACCAGCAACAAATACACCTTTAAAAGTTGAGAACGGGTTGAGAAATTTGAAACTTTTGATGCTTGCATCACTAATGTTAATTTTATTATCATCATAAAGCTTGTCAAAATGTGCAATATGATCAAATTCTGATAAGCATACAGATTTAATTTTTTTATTAGAAAATAAAGTTACTTAAAGAAAAAATACATGTGCCTCCTGCAAAAGGGGTATGAATCTAAACTGAACAAAATTAAAATTGAAGCTAGAAGATTGCCAATTCATAGAAAATAATAAGTTTCAAAAGTTACCTTCTTTTTTAGTGCTCTAATTCTCTTATTGATATCTAGATCAGAATCCTCACTTTTAGTTGTCTCGTTTTGATCTGTGGATGAGTTTGTCGCTTCTGATGTTGAAGAAACAAAGAGATTAGTTATCTGGTCAGTTACTGTTTCCAAATTTTCTAATCTATGTTAAACAAAGAGATTAGTTATCTGGTCAGTTACTGTTTCCAAATTTTCTAATCTATGTTGTTTTTCAACAACTGATGTTGAAGAAACAAAGAGATTAGTTATCTGGTCAGTTACTGTTTCCAAATTTTCTAATCTATGTTGTTTTTCAACAAAAGGACTCTCCTCGGTTCTCAGTTTTCCAGATTGCTCTGGATCCAAGTTTCTTCCCTTGTCGTTTGATGAAGCAAGTGCAGCCTGAAGTTCAGCTAGTTGATTAGTTTTCCAAAAGAATAGGGAACATAAATGTGAAATTCATATCATTCTCTTATCATAATAAAGAAACAGAAATATGGTTATAAAAATAATGACAGTAAAAACAATAGCAGCTGGTTCGTACATCTTCAAATGACCTTTGGGTATATCTACTAGCAAATAATCCAACTGAAGGTCAATAGCTTCATATATAACGCCTTCAATAGTTAACAGTTATAACATGTTGCAGTGCAATATTAGAAAGTCCAACAGTATTCAGGCCATGTTACCTCCATCTCAAAATAGTGCAAGTACTGCCAAGATATACTACTACTAAATTTCACCACAATGTGTTCCACAGATCGTATGGCACAGGAAGACGTATCGGTATTTAACTTGGGATGGCAGGGTTGTGCATGGGGTTTCTCGCCCCAAATGAACACTCAAAATCCCTTTAGTACACATGACAAGCGGATTCAATATTTGCTGACTACCTCTAAGAAAGAAAGGGCTTTATGTATAATGTCATCTCATGTTATATATACATTTTATTTTATCTGAACAACTAATCTACAGGTACATGCCTTTGATAGGAATATATACATTTTATTTTACTTAGGAAACAGAGACAAAGGATAACTTAAGAGAATTCTGTCACTAATAACACGCAACCAAAAAAGACAGGAATACTAAGTGTATTGATCAGTCTTAGTGTATTGATCAATCATTGCAAAAATATCCGACTCTAAATGCAAGTAGCAGTTGGCTAGTTAGCAGTTCGGTTGGGAAATCAGTTTCACATTTCTTCTTAGGGAGATGCATATAACTTGATAAAAATAAAAATAGTTCAACGCTAAAGAGAAACCTAGCTGTCAAATATGTTTATGTGTGGGTGGGTAGTTCCTTTTTTTTTGGTGGGGGTGGGGTTGGGGTTGGGGGGAAGGGGGTTGTGTGTAAGGAAAGTACAAAATTCAAAACGACAGGATGTTTATTATCAAAATAAAGGTAAGTAGAACCAATTTCAAAACCTAAGAACTCGCATAAGTTGAATGTATCCCAGAGGACTGAAGAAGCACAAGATCAGCTTCTAGACTCATTTAGCATGAGTTGAATGTATCCTACAGGACCAAAGAAGCATAAGATCAGCTTCTAAATTTATTTACTACTCATTACCAAAGCTACTAGACTTATTTAATAGACAATTACTGTATCTAGCTACTAGCTTCTGACTACAAATTGTAGGAATATCCCAATTAAATGTTAAATACATGCAATAGGTACATATATAATTTAGTTATTGAAAACATCGAATTTACATATCAAATATATTTTGCTCACTCATACTGAATTCCTAGTTCTTTAACATTTTACTTTTTCACAGTCGAGAATACATCTGTGCACTTCAATTATGCTGAATACAGCAAGGAAAACTTTGTGTTAATCAAGCAGGAGCTCAACCTATATGATTGTGAATTCACACGTTGACATACCCAATTACACATTGACACACACAATTAAGGATAAACTAGTTTCAGAGTCTCTTAACTGGCAATCCTATCCTTAATGCGAATTTATTACACATATCCAAAGTTCTGCCTAATTTGCACAGTTCTTCTCTCCCTTTACAGTAGAGCCACTTAATTCAAGCATAAAGCAGCCTTAAAATGTCATCTTCTAATATTGAATATGAAGCACACCACACATACCAAAGATATTTTGATATTTGCAATTTGATTTCCCACTTTACTGCAGAGTAAAACTCTTTAGTTTCCCTTTTCCCAGCTAACTTGTGGTCACCCTTAACTAAAATAAAGAACATATTAAAAAATGTCTCTTTATCAATTCTATCAACATCACCTTCCAAACAAACCCTCATTCAAAGACCCACTCCTTACAGTTGGCTTGCTTTGTACTTCAACTTATACACCTGCATCCGTAACTTTTTGCTCGTTGGCCAACCAAAACCTCTTTCATCCCATCAGACATTTATGCTATACTAATATATCATATGAACAATTCCAAAGTATCTCATGTTGTCACATACCAACAAAAATTCTGAAGTGCCTTGCATCATAAAGGGTATAAATGCTGGTATTAAGACCGCAACCATGTCCATTCAATATGACATCCCCTTCGTCCGAGCACTCTCCTTCTCTAGATTTAGCCATAACTTTCAAGCTTCGGAGAGCCTCGGGATGTCAGAGGATAATTTGTAGTCCAACAATGTATTAGTACCATGACCTCAGCAACTCCTTTATTATTGGGTTTTCTCAATGTTATTAAAGCTTCCTTCTATCAAGTTCTTATGGTAAGAAAACTCTAAATTTGGAGCTGAAATTCTTTCCCAGGAACACTAGCAAAGATCAGGGAATTCCTGTGGCACTCGATTCAACAAAGATGCAGAAGCAGAAGCATAAGTTACTACTGCCATAACTGCACCAGGAACTTCTCAAGAGGCATAACTTGTTTTCAACTGCTGATTCAAATTCTCCGGTTGTGAGGGATAAACGATGACCACAGGGAAAACTAAGGTAGGGGTTAGTGGGTGCTTTAGGTCTAAAGATGATATTGGCTCCACTCCCAAAGAGCATTTAG